GACAGTTTTCAGAAGCAAGTTTCAGCTCACATGTGATGTGATGTGATGTGATGTGATGTGATGTGATGTGCTTGACCATGCCTTCCAGGTGCATGGGGTTGTTACCATGACACACATCACCCCATCCGCTCACCTCACCATCATCCGCACTCTAACCACAGCTTTGAGTGGACCTGTGATCTGCTTGACCATGGTGGTGAGGTGTTGTATGGAGTCCACAGTGACATGCATGGGTGGTCACTCACTAGTGTACCTGTGATCTGCTTGACCATGCATCCCACATGCATGGGGTCCACGGCGACATGTATGGGGCAGTGACCATCACACATATCACCCCACCCCACCCCACCCCACCCCACCCCACCCCACCCACACCCTCCGGTTCACCTGTGATCTCCTTGGCCGTGTTGCTGAGGTGCAAGGGGTGTAGACGCCACACATCACCCCACCACCACACATCACCCCACCACCACACATCACCACTCCCAACCGCGGGCGCACCTGTTATCTCCTTGAGCGTGTTGCTGAGATGCAAGGGGGTCCACATGGATCCACGATGACATGCGTGTTACACACCCACACAATGACATGTGTGTTACACACCCACAAAATGACATGCAAGGACTCTAACCACCACAGCCTTCGTTTCACCTATAACACACCCACTTACCATCACCCACACTCTAGCCACAGCCTCCCGTTCACCTATAACAGCCCACCTGTGATCTCCTTGAGTGCGTTGCTGAGGTGCAAGGGATCCACAATGACATGAGTGGGGCAGTCAGCGCACACACTGCCACTCACTGCACGGGGAGGAAGGAGGGTAGAGGTTTCTTACGCATGATCGTGTGAATGAGGGCGTGGAGCTGTGGGCAAACACATGCCAGTGGAATGAGACGCATAAGGCATGCTACACACAGACACAGACACACACACACACACACACACATACACACACACACACACACACACACACACAAACACACACACACACACACACACACACACACACACACACACACACATCCATGCATGCATGCATACATACATACATACATACATACATACATACATACATACATACATACATACATACATACATACATACATACATACATACATACATACATACATACATACATACATACATACATACATACATACATACATACATACATACATGGAGCCACTCGTGCATGTCAATCACCGTTTCATCCACCACTGCCTTGCCTGCCTCCAGCTTCGAGCACTTCCCTCAATCATCCACTCACATTGAATGCCTTAGTAGCGTGCCGCCTCCGCATGCCAATCTAATGCGGCATGAAGCCACTCGTGCATGTCAATCACCGCGTCATCCACCGCCACTTAGCCTGCCTCTACCTGAACCACGTGCAGTGCGCCCCCCTTCATTAAACCACTCACGTTAAATCCCTTTGGAGCGTGCTTGCTCTGCGTGCCAACCAAGAATGACATACAGCCACTCGTGCCAGTCAATCACCGTCCCATCCACCACCGCCTTGCCTGCCTCCAGCTTCGTCAGGTGCAGTGCATCCCCCTTCTTTGATTGACCACTCACATTCAATGCCTTTGGAGCGTGCCACCTCCGCATGGCAGTCAAGTGCAGCACGCAGCCACTCCCTCACGTCAATCATCATCTCATCCACCACCGCCTTGCCTGCCTCCAGCTTCGCCAGGTCCAACACGCGGTTCACCAGATGCAGTGTTCTTTTCGCTGATGCTGTAGCCAATAGCAGGTCTTCTATCTGGGAGGAGTCCAAGCCCATGTCTGCAAGAGCGTCGAGCATGCCTGATGGGAAGAGAAGAAGGAAGTGAGTAGCAGAAGGGTGAGTGCATAGGGCCATGAAATCAAGTGAAACATCCGGTCGAGCGGATGCATTGCATCCTTGGACGACAGTCCGGTCCGGCCATTAGCAGTTGGATTGGTCCAATGGAGGAAACCAAGGAAGACACAGGGAAGAGTGCGGGCTCAGAGCTTGTCCGCACCAGAGGCGCGGACGTAAGCAAGGCAGCCCCAGACGCGAAAGCAGCCGCAACACCAGGAAACTCAGTCCAGAGGAGGGACGGACGGAGTAACTTGGGGGCGTGAAGCACGAGGCCACAGGTTAAGCTGGTGCGTGGCGTAGTGGAATGAAAAAAGGCCACAGAAAAATGGGGGCATGGCAAATGGAGGTACAAGTGATATCCATGACCAAGCCAATGCGACGCTCGGCGACCCCCATTCTGCTGCAGTGAGGGAGGTACGGTCCATGTCTACTAGAGCAAGGAGGAGGGAGGGAGGGAGGGAGGGAGGGAGGGAGGGAGGGAGGGAGGGAGGGAGGGAGGGAGGGAGGGAGGGAGGGAAGGAGGGAGGGAGGGAGGGAGGGAGGGAGGGAGGGAGGGAGGGAGGGAGGGAGGGAGGGAGGAGAGAGGAGGGGAGGGAGGGAGAGAGGGAGGGAGGGAGAGGGAGAGAGAGAGGGAGGGAGGGAGAGAGGGAGGGAGAGAAGGAGGGAGGGAGAGAGAGAGGGGGGCCATTAGCAGGTCTGCCAGCAAGACGAAGGTAAGGCCCATGTCTGTTAGAGCGTCTGACTGACCCATGTCTGGCCCATGTCTGTTAGGGAAAAAGGATGTGGGTGGGGGAGAAGCGAGGAGGTACAAAGCAACAAAAGGGTGCAAAATAAATAACAGGAATGCATTTTGAACCCTTTTGCTGCTTTGACAGGTACCTACCTATGATTCCTATGATTCCTATGCTTCCTATGACTCCTATGATTCCTATGATTCCTATGATTCCTATGATTCCTATGATTCCTATGATTCCTATGATTCCTAGGATTCCTAGCAGGAAGCAACAAAAGGGTACCTATGATTCCAACCATGGGTGCCCGGAGCTCATGGGACATGCAAGCCACGAACATGCTCTTTGATGCCTCTGCATCATCCGCCTCCTGTCTCAGCCTATCCGCCTCCGCCACCTGCTGCTGTGTCTGGAGGAACTTGGCCCGCTGCAGACAGGCCGCCAGCAGCACGAGCAGCACGAGGAGGAGGGCGAAGAGGGCGATGAGGATGGGGATGCCCCACGATTGCCACGCGCTGGGAGGCTGCGTGTGCCTGGATGGGGGTGGGAGAATCATAGGGGGGTAGTTCTGAGGACGTAGGGTTCATTATGTCGGTGCATAGTAAGAGGTTTGTGAGGATGGACATAATTTTAGACATGCGTAGTAAGATATGATTGACAAAAAGCACCTGTAGCCTCTCTAAAGAGCTCTCAACTGCAGCATCAGCAGAAGGTCCACACAGTGGATTCAAATTCTCACCCAGACAGTTGGGCATGAACGATCACTTGCACAAGTCCCCATACTTACGCAAGCTTGCTCCCAGCTGTGCGTTAACAGCAGCACAACACAGTCTGAACTTTCTTACTCTGCTGCTCGTTAGAAATGTCAGATAATTTGCTTACAGACGTGCCATGAGAGGTCATGAGGGTCCTCACAGCAAGAGATGGCTTTTACGGCGCCTCATGCGAACCACCCACTTGGCGGTCTGAAGAGAACTCATGAAGAGAACTCGTGAAGAGAACTCGTGAAGAGAACTCGTCAAGAGAACTCGTCAAGAAAGTTCACCCTCAGTCTTATGAGAAAGCCCACTCACATCACAGCCCCATGGGAAACCTCACGTCTCCCCCGGCACCAGACCTCATACTTTCGCACGTCTCCCCCGGCACCAGACCTCGTACTTTCACACGTCTCCCCCGGCACCAGACCTTGTAGCTTTCGCACGTCTCCCCCGGCACCAGACCTCGTACTTTCGCACGTCTCCCCCGGCACCAGACCTCATACTTTCGCACGTCTCCCCCGGCACCAGACCTTGTAGCTTTCGCACGTCTCCCCCGGCACCAGACCTCGTACTTTCGCACGTCTCCCCCGGCACCAGACCTCGTACTTTCGCACGTCTCCCCCGGCACCAGACCTCGTACTTTCGCACGTCTCCCCCGGCACCAGACCTCGTACTTTCGCACGTCTCCCCCGGCACCGGACCTCATACTTTCGCACGTCTCCCCCGGCACCAGACCTCTTACTTTCGCACGTCTCCCCCGGCACCAGACCTTGTAGCTTTCGCACGTCTCCCCCGGCACCAGACCTCATACTTTCGCACGTCTCCCCCGGCACCAGACCTCGTACTTTCGCACGTCTCCCCCGGCACCAGACCTCGTACTTTCGCACGTCTCCCCCGGCACCAGACCTCGTACTTTCGCACGTCTCCCCCGGCACCAGACCTCGTACTTTCGCACGTCTCCCCCGACCTTTTCCAGAGGCAACCTGGCTCGATGATCCCAGGCGCGAGTTTGGCATGTGCGGAGGGGTGCATGTGGCGGAGCGAGAGAGCAAGAGAGCGAGCGGGAGAGTGGGCTAGGGGCGGGTTTCAGAGTCGAGAAGGCTCACTCACTCGCTCACCGCTATGTTGGAATATACGCTCAGACCCTAAAGCGTCTAGCGTTTACACGCTTGCGTTTGTACTCAAAACGCTATACGCTTACTCATATGCTATACGCAGTCAGATTCTTTTTTGGGGCTGCCCGAGAAAAAAAAATGTGTATACGGAAAGATGCGGAATCTCCTGGTGAGCATTTCGCCGAAGTCGCGATGTATTTCGGTGGTCTAGGGAAGCGGGAATCTGCCTTCAAATTTATCAGTCACGTCTGGCAGTTCAGATCTACAATTTCAATCAGTACCGCATTGAAACTGTTCCCATCTACAAACTCCAACCTGTCAATTTTCCCCCCCAACAAACCCCACTCACGCTACTTACCAGCCAGCCCAACTTCACTCGTCATTTCTAGGTTTCTTTCCTGCTTCCAACAGAGGTCATTCCGATTCCTGCTCCTCCTAGCGAAGATGTTTTCTACACATTCCACCCCAATCGCCGTTCAGATTTAGGAAAATGCTACGAAAATCTTAGTTAGAATAGGGAATATCTTCCCGATGTTGAGCACGACGGTTTTTTCACCCTGCCCGGGAATTTTCTTCCCCTGCCCGAAAAAGCGTATGTCCAAACTGACCCCTGAGCGTATAGCATATACACAATAGCGTATATACGATACGCGTATATACACTAAACGCGTATATTCCAACATAGACTCACCGGCACCAGACCTCGTACTTCCTCACGCCTGCTCCCATCTCCTCTAGAGGCACCACTGCTCGCTGCTCCCAGGGGCGGGTTTCGGACTCCGAAGAGGGGTGCATGTAGGGGAGCTTGTCGTCGGGGCGGAAGTAAGCATGGGGTGGGACTGGTGAGACGATGGCGAAGAGGGTTGTTGGGTCAGTAATGTCGTATAGCTCAAAGGACTTTGATGGGTCTGCATGGGAGGAAGAGAAGGGGGGAGGGAGAGTGGGGGGGAAAAAGGGTGGGGGGAGGAGGGAGAAAAAGGGGAGAGGAGGGGAGAGAGTAAGAAGAGCACGACGCAAACGTCAAGGTGTCTGCAACTTTTTACGGAAAAGTAATTATGACAACAACGGGCATCGATAGGTTATACAGCTCTGCACTCACCAGGTTCATATAGCTCCTCTAGGACCTTCTGTGCGATGTAAGTCACGTCAAAGGTTGCAGCAATTGACCCATACACTGCTCCCACTGCTAATTGGCTCGAGTGGTTGGTGGGGACGCTGCGGCGGAGAGGAAAGGCGACACCTGCGGATGTGTGGAGCCGACAAGAAGAAGAGGAAACAATATATGCGCTTCGTCAATGGCCATTGCCTCCCCCACTAGGTGACTTTTGAGTTGACTCTAAAGTCACCTCGTCAATGGCCATTGCCTCCCCCACTAGGTGACTTTTGAGTCGACTCTAAAGTCACCTCGTCGATGGCCATTGCTTCCCCCACTCACCGAATCCAGCATGAGTGAGGGGGTTGGCGAGAGGGTAGGGCCAGGAGTAGAGGTGCCGGCCTGCCTCCACCAGTGGGATCAAAGAGTGGTATCGCTGAAACATGTCAATGTTGCTGGGGCCGTCGGTCGCATACAGAGTTGTAAGTTCGAGGACCTTGGGGCAGTAGATGGGGCGGCGGGCACTGACAATCAGCGTGTTTTCTCTGATGCTGCCGTACTGCCGCTCAAAGGCCGCCCTGCAGCAATGTGGGTGCAGTAAAAAAAAAGGAAGGGATGGAGGAAAAAAAAAAAAAAAAAAAAAAAAAAAAAAAAGAGAGAGAACAACGTAAGTAGCCCATGACATTTATGCCACTCAACCACACCTCTTATAGCGCGTGTTCCAACACTAGTCAAGATAGTCAAGAGTCTCATCTCACCTCCATCCACCCTCACCTCCCTCACCCTCACCTCTCTCCACTCCTACACTCACATTTCCCTCCCCTCCCACCACTCTGCAATGCGCACCACCGCACACACGACCACTCCCGCCTGGGCAGTGCGTGCGAGTGAGGTGCAACACCCACTTGCTGCCATTCAAACACCCTTGCTACCAGGTTTGAGCCTGGTTTTTGAGACGTCTCAAAAGTCGTTTACTTACACGCGGAATTTATATAGAGGGTTGTTTTGTTGCTTAAAAAACTGGTTGTAACCTGCAAAGGTTACTGGTTCGCACGAGGCTCCCTGAGCACCAGCTGGCGGATGGTGTTACTTCAATGCTACGCCTCGAGGAATGAAGACCCCGAAGACTTGGACTTTTCTAGGTTGTCAGGGATTGGCCAACCAGATTTCTGGCCACGGTTGCACCAACCCGGAGTTTTGTTTTCCGAGACGTAGTGTTTGCCCAAATGCTTCGTCTTCCTTCTCTTTCATTTCCACTAGCACTGATGAAGGTGTGATTGGGGCCTGTCCCGTCCACCGAAACTAGTTTGCCTCGTTCTAATCTTTCAGTGGAATTTTGAGTCGGATTTCTTGAAACTCCTTGTTTTTAGCAGGAACAACAACAGATCGCACTGTTAATCCTTTGCTGAAGATTTCTTTTAGACTGCTGCTCGCCTAATCACATGGCTGAAGGCAGTGCGTGCGAGTGAGGTACAACACCCACTTGCTGCCATTCAAACACCCTTGCTACCAGGTTTGAGCCTGGTGCAACCCAAATCAATTCTCCTTCCTTTCCCTCTCACCTCTCGGCATCGCGCACCACCGCACACGCGACTGCACCAGTGTTCCCCGGGCGAGTTGGTGCAGTGCGAGTGAGATACGACACCCACATGCTGCCGTTCAAGCACTTGCCCATCTCCCACTTGCCTCCCTGCCCTGGCTTGCCCATCACAGAAATCAGCCCAGCAAGAGTCTGACGAATGGGAGGGGACGGGTTCGAATTTAAAGATACAGTGAAGACTGAATAGTGGAACTGATTTAGGCATTTGAACACCCACGGTGCCCCGCTCACATCCCACTTGCCCACCCGCCCTGGTTTGCCCATCATCAGCCCTGCAAGATTCTGAAGAATGAGAGGGGATTTGGATCAAATCATTAAATAGAGTGAACATTGAATAATAAACACCCACCCACGTTCCACTTGCCCACCTGCCCATTGTCAACGGGAGTTGGGTGTTGGCCCCGTCCTCGCTTGGGCAGAGCCGACTTCGTGGTCCGGGGTGCAGCCAACCATATGCAGTGGGCAGCGCCGACTTAGGCGAGCAGGTCGACGGAGTTGGTCGGCCTGGACGCGGCCACTGCGAAGTCGCCGACAACGGGTAGCCAGCGGCAGACCTCATCTGGTGTGGTCGACGAAAGGGTTCGTCGACCTGTGGAGTGGCCGACTTGGTGAAGTCGGCTGGTGGTCGTCAACCTGGGTGGTCAACGAGCACATACAGCAATTGGTCGACTTCTGCCGCGCAAGTCGACGTCGACTTGGTAGTTTCCCGGTCAACCAAGTTGCCAGGGCGACAAGGTTTTGCGGGGTGCGCAATAGTAGCCCAGGAGGTTTTGGCGAAGCCGACCACGGAATCGTGTCCTGAGGTCGACATGGCTCATCAGGCGCCGCCATCGGCACGTGGCTGACCTGGCACCTGTGCCGTGCACGTGACAGTACACATCGCACCAACCGTCTACAAGCACCTGCGAAGTAAGTGCGCGTGTGTGCGCCGATATCATCTGCGGGTGCAACGCTGGATGGCCCCCTTACTGCACAGTGGCATGCCGTCGACTTGCTACGTTGGCAAGCCCCCATTCTGCAGCGCTGGAGCGGTGCGAACTTGCGGTGCTGGCAGGTCGCTAACTTTGCTGCGCTGGAGGTCGACCTATCTGTGTGCTAGGCAGACTTGCTTTTGATGTAGTCATTGTTGCCAACTTTGTTCGTATTATTGTTCTCAACTTTCTCTTGTGAAACTCTTGCCAATTCTCGTTGTAAATGTGCGAGTAGAGAAAGAATGTTAAAGAACGCTAAGATCATCCCCAACCTTTGCCTACCTCGTAGTCGTGCTCTCACCATTGTAGAGTGACTCTCCGCACCTAAATCAAATCATTAGCTAGACTGAACACTGAATAACAAACACCCACCCATGTCCCAATTGCCCACCTGCCCATGCGCGCCCATCACAGAAATCAGCCCTGTAAGAGCCTGAAGAACGGGAAGGAAGTGGGATCGAATATCTAGTCTAGTTAGAGTGAACAGTGAGCAGCGGAAACTGCTTCTATCGTTCGAACACCCACCCATGTCCCACTTGCCCACCTGCCCATGCTTGCCCATCACAAAAATCAGCCCTGTAAGACTCTGAAGCACGGGAGGGAAGTGGGATCGAATATCTGGTCAAGTTAGAGTGAACACTGAGCAACGGAAACTGCTTCTATCGTTCGAACACCCGCCCATATCCAACTGGACCGGCCACCGCTTTTGAGTCGACTCACAATTTGAGTCTGCCTTTGAGTCGACTCAAAATCATCAATCACTCAAACACCTGGCCATGTCCCAATTTACCGGCCACCCACGTCCCACCTGCATCTGCCCGGCATGGGCCAGCACGAGCTGCTGCAGCATGAGGGCGCGCTCCTTGCACCACACGCCCAGCGCCTCCTCCCTGTGCCTCTCGTACTGCGAGTGTCGGTCCCACAGCAGCCCCGCCGCTGCCACTGTGCCGCACACCACCCACGCGACCACCAGCACCGTGAATAAGGTTGCTGGGAGGGGGGAAAAGGGACGGGCGAGGGAGAGATGGGAGAGAGGAAAGAGATTGAGAAAGTGGAAAGTGGAAAGCGGAAGGAAGGAGAGGATAGGGAACACCACACGCCCAGCGCCTCCTCCCTGTGCCTCTCGTACTGCGAGTGCCGGTCCCACAGCAGCCCCGCCGCTGTTGCTGTGCCGCATGCCACCCACGCGACCACCAGCACTGTGAAGAGGGGCGCTGGAAAGGGGGAAAGAGTTGGGGAAGTAGGGGGAGGAGAGGGAGGGGCGGGAGAAGGAAGGGGGGAAGCGAGGGGTGAGTGGGACGGGCTGCTGCTTTCACTGTGCCGCACGCCAACCACACGACCACCAGCACCGTGAACAGGGGCGCTGGGAGGAGGAAGGGATGGGGGGGAGGAGGAGAGGGGGAAGGGAGGGGCGAGAGCGAAGGGCTGGAGCTATCACTGTGCCGCTGGGAGAGCGCTTGAGAAGAGAGAAAGAGAAAAGGGGGAGAAGGAGGAGAGGGGGAAGAAAGGGGCGAGACCCCTAGCTATGAGATCCCAAGGGATGAGATCCCTAGGCGTGAGGTTTCTAGACATGAGACCTGGCAGGCATGATGAGATCCCAAGGCATGAGATCCAAAGGCGTGAGATCCCAAGGCGTGAGATCAGGCGTGAGATTAGATCCTACTAGGCATAGTAGTCCGACTATGCAATGACATTCATAGTAGTCACGCGATACCAGGGGCTGAAGGATAGAAGCGGCAGAAATGAGGGTGTGAGAGAGGGCAAAGACTTTTGGGAATTCTCAAAAGTATGGAAGCGGCTGAAAAGAGGGTGTGAGAGAGGGGAAGACTTCTGAGAATCTTATATTATTCAATGGAGAAGGATGGAAGCGGCAGAAAATAGGGCGTCAGAGAGGGGAGGACGGCCCAGGAGATGTGAAGGAGAGGGAGTCGAAAACTGGCTACTACTCGTCCTCCCTTTTTTCTTCTTCTTCTATCCTCAAAATGCTGCTCTAGAAATTTCACCTAGGGCCTAAAAGCACCCATTCTTCATCGTTACTAACGAGGGTTTAGGCCTAAAAGTACCCTGGAATAGCACCGAGGAGCAACCGACCGGAGCTCCCGCTGTGGTATCATCATCCTCCCCTTCCTCCGGCGCCTGTTTCTGCTTCAAGCAACTTGGGACGTGCCTGCTCCAACCGCGGGTTTGCGCTTTCGGCGGCGTCATTCAAAGCTGCTTGTACCGTGACAGCTACAGGCGTCGCCACGTTTTTCCCTGTGGGACCGCCAGCGGCGAGCCGCGGAACCTGGAATTATTTACCGATGTTTCTAGTAGCAGCAGATCAGTTTATGATTCAGCGTCACGCTGACAAAAGTCTGGAGTGGTTGTTTATTGGGTCAATGTGTCAGCCCGGCTGATTGGCCATCACGGTCGAAGTTCAGTCGCCTGGTCAAACTAGGTTATCTGCATTCGACTAAAGATATCCTCACCCAACCAACTAAGTCAGGATGGAAACCCAGTTCCTGAACACCACAATCACAACTCGCCAGCCAACAAACTGAAAAGCGGTGCCAGCCAATGCCTCAGCAAATTCCAGGCCTTGTACGCATGCAATTTCCAGCTCGCATGAAGATTTGAGGTGGCTGCAGACGAAAATCCAGCAATTTCAGGGCTGTCTCGTGAAATTTGTGCATTTCTCGGAGCACATTCAACGTTTTCTAGTGATTTTATATATATATATATGAGGACGACGATACACTGAACAAACACTGTGAGAGCATTCCATAGTAGTAGCTGATCTGGCTTGAGTTACTCTTTGGTTTCCCAGACCCCACCCGCCAAATCTTACCGAATCCGCCCCATTTTTCCTTCATTGCTGTGGGTGGTGGGGGGAGGGGGGATGGTGGGGTGGGGAAGGAGTGCGGGATGGGTTGAGGGGGTTGCTCCTGGCATGAAGCCGCTACTGAACCAGGGAGCAAGTCGGGTGGGGAACTCGTGAAACAGGAGATCCATTGTGTCGCCAGAAGTTTCCAGAAATGTTTTCGCAGAAGCTGTATGTATCTTGGGGTTATGACCTACATTACCTCGTTGCGTCCGAGCTGGCTAAATGAAAAGCAAGCAAGCCTCAGTTCTGCTCACCGCCACTGTTATGCAACCAAGCTAAGGGCAATATTATTCTGCAAGTGGGAGAAAGTGGCGTGAGGTGGGGTGAGGCCAGAATCGGCTGGTTTCACATCATCCCACTGGCACTCCCACGTCCTGAGGACGTGGGCCCAATCGACTTTGATGGGCTCAGACCGGATCAGGTTAGCTCGAATCGGATTGCTTGTGATCGCTTTTCTCACACCGCCCGATCAAATCTTATTTTCCTCGAAAAGTCTAATTGCCAGCGAACCATCACCTGATAGTTTCTTCCTAACTTTGACGAGACTGGCGAACATTATTTTTATTGTGGTATCTTTGCGAAATCGTGCTCCACACTGTCCGCTCTAGAACCTTCGCGATAGTTATAACATGCAGTTCTCGCCAGTCTGTAGGTATGAGCGAGAGATTTTCGAGACCTCAAGACAAATGTGTAACATTTTGTGAACGTCGCCCAGGTCCCCGATCACATGCAATCAAATGATCGGGACTGATTGTGTCCGATCGTGATTGATCGGACAGTTTGAGGCGGTTGATCGAGTTGGAGCGATCAGCTGATCGAGATCAGCTGATTGCTACCGTTTGCCTGAAATTGGCTTCCCCTCTTCCTAGAAGTTATTGATCGTTCTTGATCGAGCCAATCAAAGTCGATTGGGCCCACGTCCTCACTTTCATGTCACACATCAGTTGGCTTGCCAGGCATCGGCTTGATTGCAAACGGGCAGGGCAGCGGCGTTGACCAATTGCGCCGCAAAAGCGATCCCAAGAAGCAAACATATTGCCGAAGGGACACAACAATCTCCCCAAAACAATCTACGAAAACTGGCAATCTATGAGAACAATCTAAAATATAATTTCTGTGCTGAAATCTCCATATATTTTGAACATCACCTTTCTCAAAAAAAAATATCACCTTTCTCGGTGGCAGATCCATCCAAACACTCGATGGTCAACTGTTCTAGAGCAACCGCGCTAAAATAATTAGGCTCTAAAATTGTTTTAGGTGGCAGATCCAAAACAGTTAAACTCAAACTAACCGCAACTTATATTTCCGCACCAAATCATCTTAACCGCTAAGAAAGATTCTAGACAGGGAAACGGAATGCGTACGCTGTTTTTGAAAGAGTAGAAACAAACACCACTCATTTGGACAAGGGATAACGGGAAGAAAATGGTCGACAGAAATGGTAAAAAAAAAAGTGTCTCACCATGGTCGATTGGCCCTAATCTTTACATACTTGGGTACCTACCCTCATCCAATCTTCTGGGTTACCTTACCTCATCGAGGGTGTTTAAACATCTATGAAAAGCTTCGCGTCGGGAGTTGCACCAGGAGCGACATGGCAGGGACGATAGCATCAGGAATATTTTTTCAAGTGTAAAATACCCTGATTGCCCTTTCCAAAATTGATTTTTTAACGATTACCCTGGTTTTGAAAGGGTGGGTAATTTGTAGCCTTTCTTCAAAAGTGTGGAGCTTTTTCTACCCTGTCGAAATTAGTGTGCGCTGATTTTTACCCTTACGTGTCAGAGTACCCTCGCCTCTCCCAGCCCCACTCTCCCCAATTTCCTAGCACCTTTAACACGATTCTCCCCATTTCCCGCACTTCTTCCAACCGCTGAGCCTCATATATCCCACATCCCTCGCCACTCCCCGCTCAACTCCCCCCGTTTCCCTCGCATCTCCCAGCCCCTCCCCACAATTCCCTCTCCACGTCCAGCCCCAATTCCCTCATTTCCGTTACAAATCAGGGTGCTCAAAAGATTATCCTGATTTCGACGGGGTGGAAGAAAGAATACCCTAACAGGCAGGGTGACGTCGTCGAGGCACTCTGATTCCCAAGAGTGCCCCAAAACCAATAATAGGCCCTGGATAGCATGCTCGCTGTCCCGCCCGTCATGACGGTCATCCTGAAGTGACCCAACTAGTTAGATGGTTCACTTCCGTAAGATGAGGTCTCGGGATCAAATCAACCCTGCGGCGTATTCAGCCAGTCCGCACCAAAAGGGACTACACAGGCACGGCCCATGCTAGGTTTTGGGGCATCCTGAGGCCTCAGGGCAACTTTCCAGAATCTTAAAAAATGCCCTGATTTGTCAGGGCAAATTTTCAGAGGCTCCCTATAGTTTCAGGGCTTCTGCAGAAATCTATCCTGGCCTGTCAGGGCAAAAATACGAGTGTTCAGGGTTCTGTTTTTAACCTATCTAGTGGCACCAGCATTGTCATATTCTTGTTACCGGTAACTAATCCAGGGTAGAGAAACCACCAGACTAGACCAGAGAACACCACTGCTACTCTAACAGAAACACTGGAGGGGTGCATGCATGGCACACAAGGAGACGATCGGAACTGTCAAAGGAATCGTGCGTTGGGTTTGGCTGGTGCATTGCAGGGGATCCGATTCAGAACTGTCAAAGGCTAGAAAAAGACACGGGGAGAAAAAATCCACGGGGAAAAAAATTCCCGGGAACAAGAACACCCCCCCTCCCCCCCCACCCCCCCGCCCCCCCTCTAAAAACGCGTCAGGGCAAGTCTCGTCATTCATCCTGACGCTTCAGAGAAGAACACCACAACCATCCTGAATGTCCAGGGCATTTCATATAACAACATCCTGTGACCACAGGGTTAAAATTGACACTATTCTGAAATTACAGGGCAAATTCAAAACTGCATCCTGAATTCAGGGTAATCAGGATGTTTTGCCCTGATAACGTGGGGCCTGTACACAGGTGTTCATCTGGGAGTGGATGTAACAACCTTGATACCCAGCGAGATGTGTAAACAAATGGGTAGGCGGGTTACGACCGACAGCCGGGATAATACGAAAGGGTTTTTCCCCTAACCTTTACCTTTACCTTTACCTTTGCCCGTTATGACGGTCGTGACCATCGTATCTAAAGGCGTGACGGGGGCCGTCATGAGCAGGGCTTACTTTTCGTTTTTTTCCTTACACTGGTTTACAGACTAGGAATTCTTGTAACACTGATTTTCAGGCTAACTATTAGCCAGTAATTTTAACCATCAGTGTAAAAGCTATTCCTAAAACAATTGCCCTGACCCATCAGTGTAAGTTTTAACATTTCCTGATAGAGGGTTGTAACCGTTGTAAGTTAATTCCTAGCTTGTACTCATTGATGCAAACTCGATCTCATTAATAATCATCTTCATACATGCATCCGACGATTGCTTCATCATCCTCATCTGACTCATCCTCCTCTCTCGCCTTGCCCCTCCCTACGCAAAACCTAACAGATGCAGGTGTTTTGAAAGGTATTCTCGTTTTCTGCCTCTGCCAAATGTCCACGACATCCGGCCAGCCGTACTCGTACTTCAGCATGTGCAGCGTCATCAGCTCGCCCAGCCGCGCGTCGTAGAGTGATGTCCGGGTCCAGCTTTTGATCACGTTTTGACGGCTGAACCCGCGCTCGCACTCTACCGTGCTGAGGGGCAGGACCGCCAGAGCATGTCACATAGTCATTAGGTTGGGGTTGCTGCGGCACCAGTCCTTTCATTTTCAGCATGTTCTGCAACCCCTGGTGGAAATCCTCGTCTTCGTGGTGTCGCGACAAGATGTGACAAAAGCTTTTCAGCTCCAGCTCTGTCGCCCGCATGTTGAACACTGTTGTGGGTTTGAGGGGGTGGGTGGGACAATGAATAAGAGGGCACATTCGATTAAGCACATACGTGGAACAATCGTATTTTGCAAAGGCAACGATAACACCATCACCTAGCAGCTTCCCGCCGAAAAGAGCAGCGTTCGCCCGCAGCCACTCAAGGCACTTGCGGTCCCTCTGGCCAATTTCTTGGGCAACGTGTCAGCCTTGAACAGTTGGGTGCAGCCCATCTGCTTCAAGTCCCACATCCGAAGGTGAAGGTTGCAGGCGACTTCTCGTGCGAAATGATGGCACAACTTCACGTATTCCCCGGAACGAACCACCGTATACTTATGCCCTGCGATTGGCTCCTCCCGCAGTATGAACCGATGTGAAGTTGGCTGGCCGTCCTCGTCCACTCCGTCAACCGTCATTGCTCGCTCCCCTGTTGCTGCTCGATGAAGCGTGAAATGTGCTTGCTGAGCCCCCCGCCAAAGGTCGCACCGTACTTCAGGTTGGTTCGGTGTAGCTCCCAACTGAAGATCCTTGAAGCGCTTATACCAAACCGAGGAGCGCCCGACAATGTCGCCAAGTCCACGAATAGCCTTATCGACGATGCCGAAGTTGGGAAACTTCAGCGCCGACTCCTTGATTGCCAAGGCCACCCTGCGCAAGTACATGAACAAGAATTCAGTCTCTGTGCAACATTTAATAGCTAGAAATTTACCGAGAAGAAAATTGCTTCACCTGTGCGCAACGCAGTGACAAGCAATGAGTTGAAATCGTACCTACCAGGAGAAAAAAAAAAACGGATTAGAACTGCTTGTCTAATGGTTCTACAAATAAGAAACGGGGAATCCAGAATACATTACAAACGAGCGACACACTGCGTGATGTAGGCACCGTATGTCTGCATAGGGATGTCGGACACACCCTCCTAAGCCAAGAATCCAATGAGCCGAGGTTACGTACTGATCGGGGCATCTTTAGCACACATGAAGTCGATGCTCCACATGAGCCTGGTGATGCGCGCACCATCCGGGCCATGCTTCTTGAAGTCGTCGAGTCGCTTCTGATTCTGGATCTGCGCCAAAAGATTCTTCTGCCTCGTGAGCGCCGCGTCATGTTTAGCACTAAACTGATGAGCTCTCATCGAGTTGAGCTGGAGATCTCTGCCACTGATGCCGTTGCGACCGTACTTGGCGTTGTCGGGACCATGGTCTATGCAAACACTGCAACGCAAACAGGGCAAACCATCAGTGGTTTTGTCCAACAGAAACCAATCAAACATTGGCAACCATTTCGAGATGTAGTTCTGCTACGCATCCAGGAACTTGGCCTCCGCCTTTTCGGCGTAAGTGTGAATGCAAGATGATAAGGCGGTCGTCTCCACTTGCGGTGGTGGAAGCGGTGGTGGCTTCGCTGGTGGCGTGCCGAACGGGAGGACCGACTGTGCGAACCGACGTTTCTTTGGTGTCGCAGAAGTAGACGACTCGGGAACTTTGGAGAGAGGAACCGTCGCTGGCTCACTCACCAAGCTTGAAACAACGGGTGGTTTCGGTATCGGAGATTGCCACCCGTCACTGCTACAGGGTGGCTTCGGTTCAGCTGGTGCAGGGGTTGCTCCTAAGCCGCGCAATAGGTCTAAACCCGTCATGGGCGCGCGGCTATTTCCCGGTTCATCGGCTGGTCCAGCAGCGTCGTCCTCGTCTGCTGTGGTAGCCATGGCTAGAGGCGTCTGATGGAAGAGAATTGGAGCTACGGTGAACTGCTATAGAACGCGTAAAGAATAACAAGCAGAACCACCGCGCTCGGGAAGCCTGTGGTGAGGTTCCCGCTCCAACACGGCAAGCAACGAACAGCCAGCCGAGCAGGGATCAGGACCAAATGCGGTCCCCAATGGGCGCTGACACACTGTATGTGGCCAAGTTCCTTGGTACGGACTGTATGTGCTGGCAGCATTTCAGTCCCCGTGCCTACGCGACTTGGCAAATCCGAAACTTGTAAACCCCGCCAATCACAGAACAGTCTGCCGCTAGCGCATGCCCGTAACGAGCGAAATTCTCGGTGTTCACGCAATGCCACCCAATGTTCCCGGGTAAAAGGGGGGGGGGGGGGGGGGGGGGGGGTACCTTGTTCAGGGTAAAACTCGCTAAGGAAAAAATTACATATACCATTACTCTGATAGATCGGGGAAAAGCTAATCCCTGGAAAAAAAACAATTGTGCCAAAAGTGTGACCCCTAAAAATTACATTGATTATCAGGGTACAAAGGTAAAATAGACTGATAAAATGACCCCTAGCTACGAGCGCCAAGAGAGAAACAAAAGTCGGTAGGCTCATAAGGTCATGGTCTGATATCATGTTAAACATCTGATATTAGACTAGGATGATGGCTAAGAAGGATGGCTAGAGCATGGAGGGAGTTACAAGAATGTTTGGAGAAAAGAGGGGGATTCACTTTGAAGGAGCAATACAAATAGATAACAATAGGCGCACCACAAAATATATCATTAATTTCACAAAAACTACAACGGTATGCAATTATAATAATATATGTTCTAACAGCACCCCCTGATAATCCTGGTATCAGGATGTTTTATTTTGATATCGTATGGCCTGGTGAACTCCCTTTTAAATTTGCCCCGGAACATAACGTAAGACAAAGTGGCGATAATGTGGCATTCATTATCCATCCATAAGCCTCACCCGCAGATATAGATTTTTTTAATACTGAACTACATTGCGACGCTGTGCGATTCCCCATGAGATATAACTTTTTAATAAACCTCGAGACCAGGGCTGACGTTTCATATTTGGCCTCCCTGAATCTGGGAAAGATTTTCCCTTTGTATTATGGGTGCACATTTTTCGGAAGTTTGCTACTCTGATTACTCAATGTCCAACAACATCTCATGTCAGAGGTCCACTGGAGATCCCCGATGATCCTAGGGAAGGGTTACAGGCACATCGGCCTGGGGGGTTATGGGCGCACTTACCCGCCATACAAACAAGCCCTTTTATCCCAGTGGTTAGTGACTGGGATTCTGACATGGTATCAGAGCAAAGGTCTCGGGTTCGAATCCCGGTGTGTGCACCTCGGGCATCCCAGTGCGGGGGGGTGTCAGAGGTCCACTGGAGATCCCCGATGATCCTAGGGAAGGGTTACAGGCACATCGGCCTGGGGGGTTATGGGCGCACTTACCCGCCATACAAACAAGCCCTTTTATCCCAGTGGTTAGTGACTGGGATTCTGACATCTCACTATGATTCGACAGGGTTCACATCAAGAAATCAGTGTTGCAGTCAATCACTAACACGCAAATTTTCCCCACGCGGCACTGCACAGTCGCGTTGGTACAGCAAAGTTGTAATCAGCTGAAATCCGACCAGTCGGGGTTGCACAGCAAGCAATGTTGGCAAGATTCGTTGGCAACGGATGGCTCGCAGCACGCCAGGGTCTTCGCTAGGATTTAAGGGGGTCGGATGCATCAGACGGGCCCTTCAAGCCTGTCGGATTCATGGAAAAAAAAAAAAATATATTCGCCCCGTCACAGCACTTCAGATTCGCCCAGTCAAAGCAAATTTGCCCTGACACAAGAAATTTGCCCTGTCACTGGCAAGAGATTCGCCCTGATATAGCAGATCTGTGTCAGATTTGTTCTGCTGAAAATTCCTGCAACACACTACGCCTAGCACGAGCGAAATCATGATTGCACACATGGGGGTTTATCGAGACGAAATTTTTGGGAGGCTCGTCCCGATAACGTCTCATTCAGGGTCCACAGGACGCGTACTCTGTATTGAAAGGGTTATTAAGAACACTACTCTGAGAGTGTATACAAAATTTTAGGGTCCGCTAAAGCACTACTCTGACTAGATCAGGGTTCAAAACTCGTTAAATTTGGTTTTACGGTGTCAAGAACTGAATGATGTTTGACTAAGGTTGGTTGGGGTACATAAACCTAACCCTAACTGTTGTACCCCATATGATACACATCACTAACGACTACAACAATTGACACACCACCATAGCCTAAGAAAGGGGTGTCAAGCAAAACCAAAACCGTACGGTCACAAGACCAGTCACAAAGAAACAAAGCTCAGGGTGGATCACAACGTCACCACACAGTCCGAGCACAAGCAAAAGAGCCACAAGGCCAGTCCAAGAGTTCACAGAGGTATATGTAAAGCGTACAAACAAAGCAAGCAGAGAACTGAAGACTACATAAGACGAGAACCTAACTGCACACAAAACCTCTGGTGGTCACAAGGCGAAACGGTAGATGCCTGCAGTGTTGGCCTCGGACTCCACAAACTCGAAGCGAGCCTGTCCACGCCTCTACAACTCTCGCAGAAGAAAGTACCTGACGTTGATGTGCTTCACTCTGCTCTCTAGTCGCGGCTCTTGATAGAGGAGAATCGTTGCCTTGTTGACAGTGGACAAGGTCGGTGAAGAGCTCGGCCGCTCACCAAGGACAGTAAGCAAGGTCAACCAACGCAGCTCATGTGTAGCCACGGCTCCAGCGTAGATCTCAGCCTCAGCGGTAGAGGTCGACACCAAGGAGGAACGTGTAGACCTCCACGAAACAGCTCCAGAGCCCAGGCTGAAACAGTACCCTTGAGTAGACCTGTGAATCTCGGCGTCATCAGCGTAAGAAGAGTCACAGTGACCAGTAAGTACGACAGACTGTCTCCCTCCAAGAACCAGCCCCACGCCTGATGTAGTCGCTAGGTACTTCGCCACCCTCACAGCTGCTGTCCAGTGAACAGGACGGTGTCTCCCTGGCGCAACAAAGCGAGCAAGGATGCTGAGAGGGAAGGCGAGGTCCGGGCGAGTGCAGGTCATCTGGTACATGAGGCAGCCCACAAGCCCTGCGTAAGGACCACTAGGCACAAACGACTCATCAAGAAAGGGTCCAGTGAGTCTGTGGTCAACAGCAAGAGGTGTGCGCTGTATTGTGGAGTGCTGAAGCTCGAGCCGCTAAAGGACCTGCTGTACCATGCGTGAATGTAAGATTGTAATGGTGCGAGCGACTTTGTCCCTGGTGATCTGCAGGCCAAGGTAGTGGCGCAGCTCACCAAGGTCAGTGCACGTGCGTCTCTTCTGCATTTCGGACTTCATGTTAGCCAAAGCAACCCTGTCAGCAGTGGCAAAAACCAGGTCGTCGACGTAGACCAGTACAAAGAACGGTGTGGAGCCACGACGAACGAACAGCGACGGGTCAGCAGAAGATGGATGGAAACCAAGGTCATACGGGGTAGAACGAAGGGTGTCGTGCCACTCACGAGGCGCCTGACAGATACTGTAGACCGGTCGCCTCAGCCTCCACTGGGTCCCAGGAGGGAAAGTGCCAGTGAAGGCAGAGGGACGACGAAGCCAGACCTCCTCGTGAAGGCTACCCTGAAGGAAGGCAGTGGAGAAGTCGAGAGAGTGTAGCCGTAGTCTCTCTGTTCTGTTACGTGCAGTTACACCCGAAGAATGGTCATCTTCGGAGTAGGCACGAAGGAATGAAAGAAGTCAACTCCTTTGTGCTGACTGAAACCTCTAGCCACATAGCGTGCCTTGAAGACTGGAGGAGATCCTGGTGGCCGCTTCACCCCAGGGGGGGAACCTTATTGATGTAGGTGCCTGTGGATCTGTAGGAGGCCATCTCTGAGTCCATGGCAGCTCTCCACTAAGAGGCCCAAGGCCCTGACACTGCCTCAGCGTAAGTGTGAGGAGTCGATATGTCAAGTGGGTCGGGGTCTCCCTCAAGGGCGAGCAGCATGGCACAGAGATGAGGGGAAGCGGCTGCCGAGAACTCCAACTCAAACTGCCTGTCCTCTAAAGCATCACAGCCAAGGGCAGACTCACCCCCGATGGCCAGAGGACTGGTAGGAGGAGCAGCCACAAGACTAGTGGCGTAGTCAAGGCGGCGAGTAGTGGCGAACTCAGTGACTGCGGCAGTAAGGGCGGAGACAGAGGACAGAGAGGCACAGGGGTCGGTAACAAGAGAGGCGAGAACACAAGAGAGAACAGGACAGTACGTGCGGTAGTAGTCAGTGACAGGAGTAGAGAGGGAAGCAGTGAGGGCCGACTCAGGAGGAGAAGGAAGCACAGACGGAGACGGACGAGGGGAGCTAGGAAAAAACAGGGCAGTACGGAGGTCAGTGACTGAAACAGGGGACGAGGGACGGGCACGAGGAGAGCGACAAGAGGCCCAAGTGTGAGAAAAAGGAGGGGACAACTGAGGTTGAGAACGGGGGAAAACAGCTGGGGAGGGGTCAGGAGGAGGAAGCAAGGGACCAAAGACAAGAGGAGAAGGGGAGGAGGGAGGAGAGGGAGAGGGGAGACCGAGGGTCCAAAGACCAGAGACAGGAGGAGGAGGTGGCGGCTGCTGCTGCTCCTGCTAAACCATGTGGCTGCTGCTCCTCTGGCCGTGGGAGCTGCTGCAGCTGCTGCTGTTGCTACTGCTGCTGCTCCTTCAGCTGCGGCGAATGCTGCTGCTCCTCCAGCTGCCGTAGCTCTAGCTGCTGTCATTCCAACTCTAGGCCCTCTCTCTCCAACTCTAGCTGCTCCTCACGTACACGGCGAAGGCGAGCCTAGTGCCGGGAGGGGAAGGGGTGCGGGCGCGGAGTAGTGTCCGGGGCAGGGGCAGCCCCAGGACTACCCTCCAAGGCACCAGCCGCACCACCCCCAGAGCCAGCACCACTGGAAGGAACAGGGTCAGTCCCAGGCTCTCCAGGTCCAGCAGAGGGCGCACCCCCAGTCGTAGCACCCCAAGGGACAGCTCGACTAACCAGCTCCCTGACGACTAGAGTCTCCTGCAGGCATGGGGTCAGCTCCAACTCCAGCACCCCAGAACCAGGACCTCGCACAGGTGCGCTCTCAACTCCAACTCCAACTCCTCTAGTGCTAGCACCTCCTGAGTCCTCGCCACGAACACCGGCTCCCGCAGGGTCTGCAGTAGGCTGTGAGGAGGACTGCGGGGAAGGAGGCTGCACCTGAGGGGCTACCGAGGGGGGAAAGGTTGCGTGTGACACACCTGACGGGGCTGGACCAGAGGGGAGAGGCTGTACCGGGGGAGCAGGAGGGGGAGCGGAAGTCAGGAAGAGAGGGGGAGGAGGAACCGGGAGACCTCGACAGGGGTACCGGACGTAGTAGGGGACAGACTCGTCAAAACGGACGTCACGGGAGTCAAAGAACCGGTGAAGGGGAGGTGAAGTCAGAGGAGTCCTCTGGGAAACCAAGGAAGACACAGGGAAGGGCGCGAAGGGAGAGCTTGTCCGCGAAGATGTCGCGAACAAGCGCCAAGAAGCCCCAGACAAGAAAACGCAACGCAGCACCAGGGGACCCAGTC